GATCTATCTATTATCAGAATGAACAAATGAGGTGTATCCATAAAATGGAGTATTAACATACCCAACTTGGATGAATCTCAAAAATACGTTGAGCAGAAGCAGCTGGGCCACAAGAGTACATACTACCTGACTACATTTACACGAAGCTGGAGGGAAGGGAAGAACAATTTACCGTGATAGAATAGTTTGCCTCTGAGGAGTCTGGATTGAACAGAAAAAAGGAACATTGTGGGGTGATGGACTGTTTCCAGATAGACACACGTACCAGAACTTACTTCTAGGCCTATCCCTACATGTAAATGTTTGGGTTTTTTTTTTTTTTCTTTTGCAGTTTTTGGCCAGGGACAGGTTTGAACCTGCCACCTCCAGTATAGGCACCTGTGCATGCACTACTCCTTTGAGCCACAGGCATCGCCCTAAATGTTGTATTTTTTTAACCATTTTAACTGGTGCAAAGATTTTCTTAAAACTTCCGTTTCTTCCTCTCTCTATATATATATGCCCAAACGATCTTAAAATAGCAAGCTTTGTAACTATGTTAGAGAACAATAGGGTAACTTTTGTTTATGTGTAATTCAAAAAAAAAAAAAGAAGAAAAGAAAAAAACAGAATCTGAATATCTGAATAAACATGAAAATTCTAAATTCTAGCTAGTGGGAATTATTTAGTGTGTGTATTTCAATATTTTATGATTTTAAAACACTTTTTATGAAAATCAAAATAACTGATGCGGCCATATGTTGCAAAGGATTGATACTGAGTTTTTACAACTAGATCTTTCTAATTTATTACAAGTATTGTTATTTGTATTAACCAAGAATATGTTATACAAAAGTGGCCACCTAAAATAGGCTTTTCAATTAAAATTGATTTTTAACTCTATAGTTCAGATTCCAATAGGGATGATGTTAACACAGCTCCTAGAATAAAGTCATTAAAAAAAAAAAAAAACAACTACACCATGCTTTTCTACTTGTGTCTTCAGCAGTCCTGAGGAAGGCAGGCTACACCTCCCAGTGGAGCACAAGGGACGTCCAGCAACAACGCGGACACAGAAATGGGTCAAAGAACTGGGGAGACACCAAACCATAGGCATTTGTGGGACATTAAAATTGTTACTCCTCCAGGGCATTTAAAAAATGATAGATCACTAGCTCCCAAAGTCTAACAACAGTACTAAAACAGTAAGCAACATCTACTTCTCAGCACCTAAAATACTACTATGTATACACCTTCTCAGTAATTATCTTGACTAATTTTCAGAGATTCTATTATAAGAAAACAGAACAAGTCCAAAATATTTGTTGCTGGGGGAAAAAACCAACACATCCCCTCCCTCCAAAATCAGAACTATTGAAAGTCCTAAGAACAAAGAACCTCTTAAGGCATTTTCATTCGACACAGAAACAAGCGGCATAAACAAGATGAAACCTAAAACAACACTCAAGAAACATAAGGAAGTAAATATGAATTCTATGAATAACTTCAAAAAATATTTTTAGGCTCAGCGCCTATAGCTCAACCGGCTAAGGCGCCAACCACATACACCTAAGGTGGCGGGTTCGAGTCCCCAGCCCGGACCC